CTGTGTGAACTGAATTCATACAGCTTAAGGGTCCAGTGTGCGCAGCAGAGGACGCAATTATGTCACAAACCAGCTATCTGTGTTTACGGAAGGAAACGCTGGAGCACATTTAGCGATCTTTCACAACCTTAAAGTTGTAGGGAAGTCATATTTAAATGTCAAATCATTCTGGCTTAAACATGTATGTAAATTTACTCTTTATAAGATAATATTGTAGCCTGGTGAGACCATCCTGATCTCGCGAGCTTTCAAGGTTTCACTCGCTAATCAGTCTGGAGACTCTCCGTTGAAGAAAGTTTGGAGCCGTTCACCAAACGAACGTCCAATCAGCGTTGGCTTTGAGGCGGGTTGAGGTGTGACGCAACAAGAAGCGCGACAGTTCAGTCTAAAGAACATGGCAGCTTCAGCCGATGAAACTAGCGTTAGCGTGGCTATCGAGCAAGTTTTATCGGAATTACAGAGTATTTCTTCACTGAAAGAAGAGCAAAACACTGCTCTGGAGGCTTTGCTCAGAGGAAAAGATGTTTTTGCTCTTCTCCCGACTGGTTTCGGCAAGAGTTTGATCTATCAATTGGCTCCTCTTCGTCGTCGCTCTGTTAGTACGTCATATGCTTCGTTGATCTGATTGGTTTATTTGGCCCGTCTATCACCAACATAGGCCAATCAGCTAACCAGTATTTTCGCCCCTTCCCAAAATTACTTCAACAGAAGGTTTCCAGATGGATATGCGGAGTAAATCCATCTGGCGGAGTCAGGTTAACGATATTGTCCCAAAATTTAGAAAATTTCTGTTTTAAAAAAAAAATCCTGTCTTAAAATCTGTTTATTTTTCCCGTTATCTTCTGCAGGCCAGTTAGTTCTACGTCAGCCTGAACACCTAAATTCATCCAATCATATATCAAGGGTCATCTGTCAATCAAATGCTTTTGGTCATAGCATCTTGATTCATGTGTCGCAGCTAATATACGCAACGGTTGAAACCAGAATCCTTTCCTTTCCCATTGAGTTGCGTCCCAGTGTTCACGGGGATGGACGTCTGTGTCTTCGGCAGGCGTAGAGCTAACAGAACTGGCAGCGTTGCGAGGCAAGGGCTCAAACATGTACGGCTGGAAGCCTTCTACACCAAACCAAGCTTCTGCCGCCCTGGCGTCCTCTTCCACAACATCTTCGTCCCCGCTTTCCTCCTCTAAATAAAAAATGGATGACGGAGGAGACTCATCCACGACCTCCGACACTAAACTCTCCTCCTCTTGCATGTTTCCGCTGTCCATAGCGTTCCTTGACAGCGTCGTTTCTAAGGCACCAATTTAGTGCTACTTGGTCCCAATGGAATTTCCCATTGGGAACCTGCTAGCACTAAGTTGCTAACTGGTTAGCAAGATGCTTCCCACAAACCGGCCACAACCAAAAAGCTTGTGAACCTTCCACCACAACAATCCCGCCCCCTTGATAATCGACCAATCACATTCACTTTATTCACTCGTGTAAAGTCAGGCACCACTCGGGAGAATTCGGAAATGCAACGGTTGGAACAGCCGCTTCCTAAGACTTTCAAAACTCAATCTTTTCCAGATGTTTAAAAATAAATACTGCTCTCCACATAATCATCCATCATGGTTGTTGTTTTCCTTGCAGCTTCTGCGTAGATAGAGCAGAATAGTGATCTATGACCTATGTTGGGTATTAATGGCGTTCAGTTCGGATGAATGTGACTTGAATTTTAAAAAGATCAGATTCGTATCGGATTCAGGACCACATAGCTAAGTGGCCTGGGTCACATTGGAAAAAATTGGACGTGTGTTGTTCCGACTGTCATGAAAAGATCAGATCCAGGTCGCATATGGGCAAAAAAAAAATTGGATTTGGGTCACTTTAGGCTGCTGTGTGAACATAGCCAATAGACCTGCAGCGTCTAGAGCAGCAGGAGCAAAACATCTTGAGCTTCTGAGGCTTCACAAGCAGCAGCTGCTGGAAAAATTTAACTTAAGCAGCTGGACGCGCCGCATCGACCAATCAGGGAAGCTGATCTGGGAGCTGGCAGGGAGTCAGACGCAGCACTGCTGATGCAGAGCGCTATGATCACTCCTCTGAAACAGTTTATTAACGCCTAAATTAACTTCAAATGTAGAAACCTGCCGGCAGAATATGTTGGCTTTTATTATCCTGCTGCCTGCAGTTTGTAGCACAGACCTGAAAAACGCTAACATCTACTTCCAGCCGCCACCAACAGGAGGGGAAAACCCTGGAGAGGCGAGCGGGCCTGAGGCAGCTGCTGCTGGGGATTCCCAGTGACAGCGCAGCGCCGGTATGTGGGGGTCTGAGCGGCTCCCACAGAGAAATAATCTTTGAAGGCAGGATGGTAATCTGGATGAACTGACTGCACAGACCATGTTTTCAGGAGGACTTTCTCACTTCAACATAGATTCTAACTACTTTCTACCCGCTGATCACAGCTAATATAGCAAAGCTTCTCTCTGGCATCGAACACAGGAGCAGCAGAAGCATCTGGACTCACTTTACTGGACGGCTGACCTTAACGAGGACAAGCAGCAGAAAGGAAGCAGCAGAAGCTGCTTTGCTGCTTAAATCGCTTCCAGTGTGAACGTAGCATAAGCCAAATGGAAGTTCGAAAATCTTTTTTTTTTTTTTGGTTGTAGTTTTTAGTGTTTGAGTCTCATCTGACTTGCCTTGACTTCGTTCTTTTCCTTTAATGTAAATAATATAAATAATTAACTTTTAACTTTAATTTATAGCATTTTTTCCTCAGAATTAGTTTTGCTGGTTGCAGGTTTTTGCTCTAATCTTTGAACCTCTTGTACCGATTCCTCCGTGACGTTTCTTCTATTCATCTATTCTGGAGTTTGCACCTTTTTCTACAGCTGATTGCTGCTCGTTTGCACCTGTCAGACGCCGCATCTTAGACTGAGATCACATCAGCAATCTTTCCAGTGGTTCCTGTGCTAACAGACCGTTGATCTACCGCTATTGCTGCTCAGGGAATAATTAATGGGAATTTCATGTGTAGACCATCATGATCTGAATCAAAGGCCACAAAGTTTTTATAATCCCACCTCTATAATCCCTGTCAGTCACGGCCGCTTAATCTGTAGGAAAAGTGCCGTTTTGTGGAGCAGCTTTGATGTGGTGACAGAAGTTCCCTCATAGAGATTCCAGTTTTTATGCAGTTGATCACAGGAACATGGAAACAAATACTCACAGGTTCATACTTTCCTCTTGGTTTGTGCAAAAACAGGCCCAATATTTCAACGAATTATTTACCTTCATTCGGAAAGAAAATGTTCAAATAAGAAAGGATGAAATCTCTAAAGAAAGAGAAGAAGAACGGCTAACCTGTAAATAGAGCTGGATTGGGAAACATACTGTGGATTATTTTTTGGGGGGGGGCTCAGAGCGACAAAATAAAGAAACAGGTTTCAAATATTTCCAGGGCTGCCAACTTTTCACCAAACCTTGGGGTTGAGATTTTAAAATAATTAGGACATGCTGCCCTTATCAGAGGACAGGTTCAGCTACAGGTTGGAGGTTTACTGAGGATTTAACTAAAGAAAGTTGTAAAATGTCTAATTTTTACGACACAGTAAAAGTTACTGAGTAACATTAAGTGATCTGTAGTTATGTGGAACATTTTTCACACAATATCCATTATTTTCTATATTCTGGTGATTTTCAGGGAACCAAAGTAAAGAAGTATGGCTCAAACTAAAATATTGCATCTTAAATATCGAATGAATGATTGAAATCGAATCCTGTGCAAACTATACTGTGTATGAATTTTTGGTAATAGGCTAAAGATTAAAAATTAAGTTATCTTTTATTTTTTTTACATTTGAGAAAACAGCTCAAGGCCTCCTAGGAGGCTGTAGATTCAATAAAAACTAGACTGCATTTCTGTGGACGTTTGATTTTGGTAGATGTCAGTTTTTAAACATATTTAATGGACCAAAAATAAGAATACATGAATAAGAAAAGTAAAAATAAAATAAGAACCTCCCTCTGGTTCCTCAATCCTGGATAACTGAGTTTTTCTGCACATCCTCTCTTTGTCTGGTTGATCTTTTCTTGGGCGGCTGATCTTTATAGAAATAAAATGTAATGCTTCTTCTTGTGGACCTCATATGGGGTTTGTAAGCTAAACCTGAAACCTTTAAGAATTTAGTTTAACGTTGGTTTAATTAGTCCTAAATCCAACAGGAGATTATTAAACTAAACTGAGCAATAATGATTTAACTTGTGAGCTAAACGTGGACTTAAACTGGGACTAAACTAGACTTGCTACTAACAAGGAGTAAAGCTCACTAAAAAAAGCACTAGGTAAAGAGAAAACAAACCTTTTGATGTGATCCTACACTTTAAGCTAAATGCTGTATATTCTATTCATATTTAGTCAAGTGATAGATTGATTAAAACTTACAAAGTGAATTAACTTAGTCCAGATGAAATCAGATAAAATTAAAACAACCAACCTCGTAATAACTGCTCGGTATTTATTTTTTTTATATGCGGCTCAGGTCCCTCAGCTCCGCCGCTCTCAGCACAGTGAACAGGTGGGCTGGTGCAAAGATACGGACTGGATTTACCTGGCCTGTCCTCGTCTCTTAGAAAACGAGGACTGGATTTTATCACCATTGTATCTTTACACATAAATAAGTGGAATGGAGTTGAGTTTTAATGTCTGTCATTTTTTACGTGAATAATTGTGGATACGGAGTGAGCGCGTGTGAAAACACTGAGATGTGTGAGTCTCACTCCTGCAGGGTGATGCTGACAGCCCTGTGGTTATTTTTCAAACCTCCACATATAGAGAGAAGGGAAGCAGGAGGATGTCGAGCTGCAGAAACAGAATTATTAGAATGAGGTTTGTTTTAAACCTTTAACAGACTTAAATTTCAGTGTAAATTTCTCTTATGTTCTAAACTGGTTTTGTGTTCAAACTGGTCTGACTTGGTGACAGTCAGTCAGTCCTTTAATCTGCATATTTCGGGTGGGGGTGGGGGGGTGGTTAGCGTGTCAGTGGCTGATATGAGGTCTACTGGTAACCGTTAAAGGAGGGAATCAGGCGATAACAGGCGACAGGAAGTGATGTTTTCCTGCTTCCTCTCTATCAGCCAGAGACGCTTGGTTCACAGGCTGCTTCTGCCTCCAGCAGTGACTGAGTATCTGCTTCACTTTTACAGTAATGTTAATGTTCAGCTGCTTTAAATGGGAAAAAGAAGAAGAATGAACGTAAAACGAAACATCTCCATCGTCCAGCACTGGAAAAACCATCGAAATATAAGTCAAATTTCTTAAATCAAATGTTTTTACCCTTAATTTTGTAGGTAAATGAGGCAGTTTGCCAATGGAATGAGTATTTTTAGTCCTAAAATAAGATATTTAGGTTTAGTTTTCATATTTTAAATGTAAATGGTCTTGATCCATTAATAAAATGTCTCTTTTACCTCCTCAGTTCAAGAAAAAATGCACTTATTTTAAGAAAAAAATGACTTATTTCGATGTAGATTTTTTCCAGTGAAAGGACAGAGGGTGACCTCTGGGTGACCTCCGGGTGACCGTCTGTGAACAGGAGCATCTCTAAATTAAAGTCCCTTCATTTTAACCACATTTCATATGAAAGAACAACAAAAAGACGTCAACCGAAAGCAAAGAGCTGCAGAAAGCAGACGAAAGGCAGACTTGGATTCAGAGTCCGTCCTCGTTACCCAGAAGGGCAGATCCACAGTGGGAGCTGGCTCACCTCGGCCCGCCGTGCTCCCAGACCCCCTGCTGAGGCCCAGGTCCATCAGCCGGGCCTGCTCACACACACCTGCGTGGGTCAGCCGGTCAGAACCGGCCTCCTTCTCTCTCAGCCAGTGTTTTCAGGGACGCAGTCCTCGCCGTCTGGCGCTGCCGGTTCATCCGCAGCATTAAGACCGCCTCCTGCTATGTGGCAGAGTTCAGGCCCCTCTCCATCCGGCTCCTTTGGGGAGCTTTGGGAGTGGATCTTTCCAATTTCCTCCAAGGCGCTGGCTAAAGAGTCAAGGTCTGCAGCTTCCTGGTGGCGAGCCTCCCACAGGCTCAGGATGACAGCAGAGGGACTCGGCTGCTTGGCGAAGAAGCCCAGGTTCCTGGAACGAGGCAGAGCAGGGCGAGGAAGAGGAGAGCGAGGAAGAGGAGGGGGTTCAGTATTTGACATTAAAGCTGCTTCCTAAAGACAAACCTTTCATTTTTTAATCTAAGGTGTTTTTACTCTGAATTCCAGCTTAAAAACCAAACCATGAAAAGGCATCAATGCTCCTTCCAAGGTGCATATATATATATATATATATATATATATATATATATATATATATATATATATATATATATATATATATATATATATATATATATATATATATATATGTCAGGGCTCGATGTTAACCATTGCCCGGGGCAAGTAGTTTTTATTGTCGTACAAATTTCATTGCATTTGCCCGCCGGGCACGTGCAATGATCGCAAAAAAAATTATTTATCACTCAACATAATTTTAAAATCACAGACATTCGCTGAAAACGACCCACAAGCGTTGCCGGCACCATCTTTGTTGTTTTGTACACATTCTCGTGTGATTTTCCGCTAGATGGCGTGATGCAGCAGCTGGATGATGAATTTATCTATACTATAATAAACGCTAGATGAAAAATGATCATTCAGGGATTAGGAAAATAATAACAATAATTGTATGCGCACAGTGTAAATATTCCTATCATATGGCAGTCCTCTGTACAGTGATGCAGGTCATACATTAAAAAATGTTCAATAAATTCTTTCTCTTAGACATTAGAGTGGTGCATTTAAATGTTATAGAGCTAAACATGTTAGATTGGTGAGTAGTAGTAGTGTAAGTTTTTAACCTGTCAAGTTTTTTTTAGATTTTTAACATTACAATTTATATTTTTCCAAGCAAACAACAGTTTAAAGCAAAGTTTAGTTTGAAAAGAATGTGCAGGAAGGATTGAAAAGCATGTTAACACGGTAATGTAGGCTGGAGTTCATTATCTGACGCATGCAGATACACACCAGGAACCTGGAAACTTAAAAAATACTGAATTACTAAAAACATTTAAAAAACAAACATGTTTCATTGATATATATACAAAAATGAATATTAGGAACTATATTTATCAATCATTATACTGGGCAAGTAAAAATAGTTTCTGGGCAAATGAAATGTGAAAGTCACTTCCCTGAAAGCAGAAACCTAACTAACAAATCTACTTTTAAAATGTAAGGAAAGCTGTCTAAAAATTAATTACTCAAGTAAAGTAAAGATAGCCAACATTTAAACTGAAGTAAAGTAATGAAGTATTTGTACTTTGTTACTTAACACATCTGCTCATTACTGCACAGCATCCCACCATAAAGCAGCATCCTCTGTCCTTCCAGCAGGAAGCGGTCAGACGCTCCGAGCTGACAAAAGGAAACATGGCTCACCTGTCCAGGTGGAGTTTCTGGGCGAGGAGCTGCCAGTCCTTGCCGCTGGCGTTGGCAGTGTCAAAGGTCACGCAGATCCTCTGGCGGATGGACAACGGGATTTTAAAGGCTTTGGGCCCCGTTTGGGACGTGACGGTGCAGTCAGTCTCCATACAGAACCCAACTGGCTCCTTTTCACCCTGGAAGCACAGAGAAGGAACAAGCATCAGATAGGAGCTGAAGGAGCTGCTAGAGATGCAGGAGGTAAAACAGGCTGAGGATCATCCAGACAGCAGATGGTTGTCAAACAACAGTTGGCTAGAAATATGATCTAGAAATATGTTCTAGAAATATGTTCTAGAAATATGTTCTAGATTTTCTCTTTGCCAGAAAAGGCTGGAATCCCTCAATCATCCGCTCTGTGATTGGCTAACTGGCCTCCAGTCTGTGGCCATTTAAAGGTTTCCTCCCCCTTGTGGGAAACAGAGGTACTGCAGGGGGCTGTGAACTTTTCTGACAAACTAATAATGTCTAAAATAAATCTGCATTATTGCTTCAACTAGAAAAAAAGTGCTTTTATTCATCACTTTAATACACGTACTGAATGTTTCCACTTAGACCTGAACTGTGGAGCAATTCTTGGTTTATTTGTTGAACATTTTCAGGCAGAAATTAAAACTTTCAGGGCTTAACAGGTTCGGTCTTCATCGTCTGCCTCAGCTCCCGGCCTGAGGTCAGTCAATCAATCAATTTCTTTTTTTGTTAACTATAATAATGGAGATTTCAGTTTCAGTACAAACCGTTCATCAGGGAACGATTTACTGAGGCCCTGCGTGCTGCAGAACGCTGCCATTGGCGTGTTCTTATGGCTGCCCACCATGAGGCGCTTCCCTATAGCGCTGCCTTTGGTTGTCAGCAACCTTAATTCACTGGCAACAGATTCATCTTCAAAGGGGCCCCTCCTCCGTCCCTTCATCAATGCTGGGGTCCCAGACGTTCAGACTCCTGGGATGCTGCAATAATCTGGGATAGATAATGATAGATACTCTAACCTGAGCTGGTTTGCTACCTCGCTTCCTTTTAAAGAGCATAAACGTCTGAGTGGTGTCTGCATCATCTAGTTCTGCTGTGTCTCTGGGATCACGGTCAGGTTGGAACAGTCAGATTTAAACCATCCAGCTGCTGATTTCAGCTGGAAATCAGCTTTTATTGTTGTGAAGGTGAACAGCCATTGCTGATGGCTGCAAAGGGCCGGTGGTCCAGGAGCAACTTGATGGGAGACATTTAAACATGTCAGGAATCCAGTTTGTGTGGGTTGTGTTTTTGTGTCTTTCTCTCCCTCCACCACCAGGTGGCGCCCTGTCCTCGTTGGTCCTCTCACACACCTGCAGCTGGTTGAGGACTATCTGAGCCATGGACCGTCACCACCTCGGCACCAGAGTGTTTGTCTTTTATCTTTGCCTTTTCGGCAGGAAGCCTTCCTGCAGGCTGGATGTTTGGCCTTCCTCCCTTGGAAGGATTGTTTGAGTCTCACACTGAGCAGGGGATAAACCTCCACAAGTTCCGTTCAAGTCCTCCTGGATTCCCAAGTGACAGTCCGCTCAATAGCTCCTCTGGGTCTAACCAAGTCTATACCTGTCCGCCCTCCAACGAGTCTCAACCTCTGGAAAAACTCACACCGACTGGATTCTGGGAGGAAGGTTTTCTCCACTAACGTGAGTCCCGTTTTCTCTGTCTCTCCAAGTTCCCACGGATCCTGAACTAACCATTGATACTTCCCTTCCCTCTTCCAGTTCCGGTTCACCAGTTCACTGTGTTTCCTGAATCCCACCTCGCTGGTTTCATCAATAAACCTGTTCAAACTTTCACCCTGGTTCTCTGAGTGGTTTACTGCATGAGGGTCAGACCCCTTAAGAAAATCATGACAAACATAAGTGGGGGGGCGAACTGAATCCCCCATCTTTAGGAGTGGCTTAGTTTCCTTCTCAGTGCAGAAACCAGAAGTCATCTGAATTCCCAGATGAACAGTTTTCCCTCCATGTAGCCACTGGTTAGAAAAACAGAAATCAGATTTCCTCCTAGTTAAACATTTAGCAGGTTTTTCTACAATCATTTCAGACAAACAGATGCTGCTGTTTTATTCTCCTCTTAAGCTTAATCTCCAGGGGAAAAAAGTAGAAACACTCCAACTAGAACAGTGAGACTGCTTTGCTGACTTGCCAGCGACTTTTAAAAGCAGTTTGTTTTTGTTGTGTGAGAAAGCTTGACTCTCTCTGCTGTAATATGTATAAAGCATGAGCTGAAAGCGACTGGAAACCAAGTGGAATCTGCTGCTGGCACCTTTGTTGCTGCTTTGCTGGAACATCCTCTCTGCTCGGCCTGCATCAGCAGGTACCTGTGGAGGCATTAATGTGGATGGAGCTGCCATGGACTTGGACCATGTCGATGTGCTCTGATGGAGACACGGACAGGCTGAGGAGACGTTTGGTGCATGATGGCCCAGCTTCAAATGGAGGGCTGCAGCCGCTGGGAGCTGTTAGCCATCAGTCACTTGAACTCATGAGTGGATTAAGAAGTTCACCTAATAAAGTGCAGAAAGAATCAAACCCTCTATTGTTAAATCTGCCAGACTCTAATCTGGTCAAATATCCCAGATTATTTTCTATAAAATAAAACTTAAAAACTGTAATAAAATTAAACATAAACCATAAAACCTGGAAAATCTGTCCCAAACAACATTTATTCGACCCTTTTGAAATCGTGCTGAGAACGGTCAGAGGACGGAAACCAAGATAACTGTTGAGTGTGAATTACGCGCACAACTGAACCGCGCTAAACTGGTACTATAATGGTGAAGATTCTCCGTCATCCAGGTTATAGTCATTCCAGAAAAAGAAAATTAAAATCAATCCACTGGACTTTGTTTCCAAGTTTGAAGACGTTTCTCTTCCATCCAGGAAGATTTTTCAATCCAAATGTCAGAAATAGCGTTTAGTTCCAGGTTTTATCCAGCAGCCCAACAAAGCCTGGTTTTAGTTTAGAAAACATGCAAATAGAAACGGATGAACGGGTCCCCCCCTTTGGAATGGGGGTCGTTTGGCTTGTTTGTTAGCCTGCAATGCCCCATACCTGTCTATGTCTCTGAAAGGGGGGGGGGGGGTCTTCTGTTCTCCTGTAAAGGGGTGGGGGGGCTGCAATGAGAGCGGGAAGGAATCAACTCTATCGCTGCATTGAAGGTTTGTAAAAGCTGGAACCTGAGTCCCCCCCCCCCCCCCCCCCCCGCTGTTTAAGGTCGTTTTGTTCTTTCTGAACATAGACGGCTTCCTTCACGCGCCTCTCTAACCACCTGTCTTCTTTGTCCAGAATGTGAACATGGTACTACTCCATGAGTAGGGCTCGGCGTGGTTCAGTTCTGGCTCGGTTCTCAGATACCAGAGCGCATCAGCAGACCGCGTCACCTCCTTACAGTCTGCTGATGCGTCGTTTGTCGTATCCACTTCACAAAAGCCGACTCTGTCAAGTAAATTCACCAAAGGCTGCCTTCTTCGCCTGACTCTCTACAAACGTCCTGAATGTTACGGGCGCCGCCATGTTGGTTTGCTTGTCTCCCTCTAGAGAGCAGCAGTACTGTGGATCGCCACTAGGAGGCGAGGAACCGTGCTAGCGTGGTGTGGAAATGGGGCTCTAGTCAAAGGTTGTGTGGCAGACTTTCCCCTCACTATTCCTCCTCTAATGTGTTTATAAGGACTATGTCGCTGTAAAAATGGCTCCTTTTTATCAACGCAAACATTCTTAGGCGCGAGTTTGGATCCGACTTTCAAACGATCTAAACAACGACCTACTAATCTGTTTCAGGTTTGATGAATCTCCACCTGTTTTTGATTTAAAACTCATTGCAAACACAGAATTTGATTTGCAGCTGGTTTTAGATCAGCTTTCTGGATTCTTTCAAGTTTGATTAAAACTATTTCCCACCGAAAAATAGCTTGTTTCTCAAACATGGGTCGACCCGCTAACAATCAGCAATAAAAGCTGGTCTAACCCCTCGCTGGCAGCTGCGTGTCTGGTGATATCATCACGCTGGGTTAGCGTTGATGATGTCACCAGTGCAACAGAAATCAGGAAAGTAAACAATGGAGAACAGCATGTCAGGAAGCCAGGGCGTAGTCCGTGTGCTTTATTGTTTCTCTCTATTATCTGAATCCGTCTCACCTGCTGCTCCATGTTTATCCGATGGAAACAGAGTTGGTTCTGCTTGTTAGATCAGAAGCGAACGGCGCGGCGTGTCGACCTCCGCACGTTGCGTTCAATGGTGTCACGTAATTTAGTGGGTCACTGGTGTTCCCGCAGCATGCATGCTTTTAAAGCGGGTCGCTTGCCGAGTCGTCTGACCCGGGTGGACACGCGACAGTGAGCTGTTCCCACTGCCACTAAAAGGTGGTTCCGGTTTAAACCGGTTTTTAGGGCAGAGGGAAAGATGTGTTAAACTTTTGAAGCTCAGGCCTTTGGTGTGAAAAATGTTAAAATCACAGTTTTTTTTATCTTAGAGTTACATTTTTATCTTCTACTGTTCAGCATGAGAAAAGATAAATAAATAAAAAACAATCGGTGGTAATTTATTCACCAAAAAACTAAAACATTAGTGTTCATACTGCAAAAACTTTAAATCTAAATAACTAATTCGTTCTTGAATTGAGGAGGTAAGTGAGACACTTTGCCAATGGAAGAAGACAATTTATATTTAAAATAAGAAAAAAACCTGCATTGTTTTATTTGCAGTGCATATTATCTAATTATCTTATTCTAAAAGTAAAAACACTAATTCCATTGGCAGCTCATCTTATTCACCAAATTGAGGCTAAATAAACTTAATTTAAGACATTTTTACTTTTTGTTTTTTGCAGTTTAAATCTTAATTCTCTTTTCGAATTTCAAATAAAACTTTTTTCACTTTGAAACAGGTATTTGCTCTGCCGCCCCCCGGTGGCTGTGGGAGGTATTGCAGTGTGGACAGTTCTAGTGTTGACGATGTTGCTGCTCTGTTGCTCATTAACACATCAGGGAACTAAAAGCCATTTTTCCAGAATGTTTTCAACTGTCTCCCGTTTGATTAAAGTTTCTTTTCATTCTGCAAACTCATGGTGTCCTCTGCTTCCAGTTGGGTTTCACTGGACCTGACTGGATCATTAGCGCCACCAGCTGCTGATCTGCTTTCACCTAACTCCTAATATCAGCATAAGGATGGTGGAGCGAAGCACTGGATGCTGTGTGCTTCTCTCTCAGGGCCTGGGTGAAGGTTTGGTGGCAGGTTGAGGTCGATCTGAACAGGACGGATCAGACCTGCTGATCCACAGAAATCAGCACCTGAATTTAGGCGCCCTGATCGGCCATTTCTATACACAGCGCCTGTAAACTCCAATCATCATAGGAATGAAACAGTAAATAACATTTCTCCTGTGTTTTATTATTGCTGCTGGCCCTGAGGGAGGACCAACCTGCCTGTGACGGCCCAAACAACCAGCGCCAAGGTGCTCTTCAGTGAGGAGCTGTAGCTCCTCGCCGCTCCACTGGAGCTGCTCCGCCGCTGACGGAGGTTTGTGAAGGAACAGAAGGCTATTTGCAGTAACACACGTCTCCCCGGGAAAATAAAGGTTACAAAACACACCTTGTGTGTACAGGGCAGAGAAGCGGAGGCTCTGCGGCCGCGTTCAACATCAATCTGCAGAGAGAGGAAGACAGGAGTGTCCTCACAGCTCTATTAATACTCAGAGCATGCTCAGGAGAGCTGCCCTCTCTGCCACCAGACTCTCTCCTGGAAGGTCACACAAAGGTCGAGCAGCAAAGGCAACACCCCCCCGCAGCTGCGTTACCTCACCTCGGCCACAGGAGCGTAGACCTGCAGAATCTGCTCGTGGCCTTTGACCTGTCGCACGCTGATTTTGCAGGAGAGCTGGGTGGTGGCAGGGCTGTATCTCTCCAGCCAAAAGGCACAGTGCAGGGGCTGCTGGTTGCTGCACCACACTTGAGGGAAGGAGAATTCCTGAGTAGGCAGAGGAGGAAACAGACAAAGGGACGTCAGAAACACGCAGCAATGCAGGAATATGCTCTGAATGAGATTATCCACCAGGTTAGCATCCAGATAACGTTCCGCCTTCGGAAACACCAACCTGCCAGAGTTTGACCTCCTTTAGTAAAGAAGAACTAAAGAGATAAAGAGGGATTTAAACACAACCTGAATGAGCCGCTGTGACATCAGACACAGCTTTTAGGCACCAAGCAGTTCTTGGCAAATTCATGGATTTACATATAAACTTATTAAAAAAACATTCAGTGAAGAGCAGAAACCTGGCAGACATGATGGACATGTTGGACATGTCCAACATGTCCCTGAGTAGAATCTGAACGGTTCTTTCACACTGAATGAGCTGGAGGCGACCAGATCAGCTGATTTTCATCTCATCCCTACATAGAGGTACGTTCAGGAGCAACGATGCTGAAAGCAGTTTAAACATCTGAGCTTCCTGTCAATCCGTGCTCCTTCAACCAATCAGGGGCTGGATGTCGTGACTAAAATGTTGCAGCAGAAACCAAACTTCTGTCAGTCAGAAGAAATGCTGCAGCCACAGGATGAAGGAAGTGTTGCTCTTTAGAATCTGTTTTCATTCCTCCTGTAGAAGGACTATTCAATCCTTCATCCTCCTCCTTTAGCTCCACAGCTGCACTGGTTCTGCCACCTCCTCTGCCTCAGTTCTCCTTCTGATCTCCTGCTCCTCCTGTCTGAGCTCCGAAGCGTCTCCTCTCCGTCCCGTTGGCCCTGTGATGGGGGGGGGCGGAGCGTCTCTGGAGGATCTGATGAACCCAGAGATGCTTTGGCTTTTTATCACAGATGAAGCTGCTAAAATGGACGCATGCTGGAGAAGCTCTGCTGGCTGGACTCTCATCAAGTTTTTAGGACAACTTCAGTTTGTTCTGATGTTTTTGCTTCTGGTGTTGAAGGCTGTGAAACTGGAAGGATTTTACTGATATTTTTCCTGTTTATGATGTGTAACCACGGCAACCATGGCATGTTGATTATTTACTCTTTAACATCTCTAAAGCTGAAATAATACTTCAGCTACTTCTGCAAGTAGCTGCCGGGTTGAAAAGGAGGCGCTGGGGATGCAGAGCAGGGGGAGGAGAAGAGAGGAAGAGGAAATGTAAGCCATGTCTTCCATCATGCATCATGGCTATTCTGAGATCTTTAGGAAAGTTAGAAAAACTCCAGCGAGGACCCAGCCAGGATATCAGCAATGCAGCAACAGAACTAAAGAAGCAATCTTCATCAAATGAAGAAGATTATGGACGACAGTGAGCATCATCTTCATCAGTCAGAAGCTTCTCCAGGTGGAGAGAAAGACCCAGGAGTTACTGAAAGGATTCATTTCCCTTTAGGATTAATAAAGTATTCCTGAATTGAATTGAATCTGCAGCATTGCGACTCTCATCCACGTCCACCATGTTTAGGAGAAGCTCCTCCCACCTGATGATGCGGTGAAGTGAGCAAAGCGTCGTCCCTGTTGGTCACATGATTTATTGGTGAAATCTCCAGTCAGCAAAAATATTTATGCTTAGTGATGAATTTGATTTCATTCTCTTTACCTTTATTTAAAAAATGCAGAAAACTTTATGACTGAATAAAGATCCTGTTGAGATGAAGCAGCTTTTATGCAGTGAACTGGATCAAACTGGTGAAGTAAAGTGGGAGCAATGGTTTGCAGAAATCTGTTTCCAAACTGCAGCTAAACAATAAAGTTATTTTGGGTCAAATGTGGAAGTTTGCAGCTTCACTTCTTAAAGTAGGGAGCAGCAGATCCACCTTCGCCATTGGTCAGCTGTTCCTGCAGGAGCAGCCATTAAAGAGTGGGAAGATGGTCCCCCCCCCCTTAATATGGTGGTGCAGTTTTGCAGCTGGAAGGAGCAAATGAATTTCTAACTGTTTTAACAAAAGAAAAATGAACCATAAAGATGAATAAATGAGTTGGGGAGTCTCTGTTTCCTACTTTTCGCGTTGAAAGCGAGCCGCTCCTCATTACGGCTGGAAATTTAAGGCTTGGTTTTTATCTGCAGCTCACAGCAGCTAATAATGCAGCCTGAGATCAGAGACACCAGAGGAAGGAAGGTTGTAGAGGTGGAAACCTGGAAGCTAAATTGATCTATGTCAGCTATTATTCTGCACCTGCTCCACCTAAACTAGCTCTGCCTGCCGTCTCTGGGCTTCAGAAATAAAGAGGCAGAGGAGGCGGGGGGGGGGAAACCCTTTTGCTCTGTATTCAGATCTTAAAGCAACGGTAACATCTGAGCTGCTCTGCAAATGGAAACAGAAAGCACAACAAAGCATTTACTGACTGCACTTCTCCTACAGTTTGCATCTTAATGCTCCTGCAGGCAAAACAAACACGGTGCTATTAATCCCCGCTCACGTCTTCAAGTTCACAGCCTGAGCAGGAGAACAAAACAAGCAGAAGAAACACACAAAACTTACATTTTCTAAGGAACTACATCATTACTTTGGGGTTTTATATTTCCAAGAAGATCTTGGCTAAAAGATTTCCTTTAGTCTTTATTCAACTAAAGAAAATCAGTTTGTCAAACTTTGAGTAAAGCGTAATTTAAAATGAGCTTTGGAGCGTTTTATACGCCATGGGATACTCTTCAGTATCAGCAGTTTTTAAACTGTCTTTAAAACTTAATTCAGTTCAGAATTCATTGAACTCGAAGGGAAATAAAACACTGTTGATGTTGAAGGAAGAATCTCCTGTAGAGGTCTGTGTTGCATCAGATCTTTAGAAGCTGCTGACTGAAGACGTTCTGTTGGTGTTTAACAGTCTGATGAAGAGGATGCTCACTGTTGCCCATCATCTTCCTCACTTTATGAAGAACTTTTCTTAGTGAAATCATCTCCAGAGGTTCTAGAGGAGTTCCTAGAACTGAGCCGCTGTCGGTAGCAGAGAATTCAGGAAAAAGGACTGATTTAGATGAACATTTTCTGCAGTGTATTTCCTTACTGCCATTAAGGGTAAATACACTTGATCAGATGGAGTCATTAGAGGTCAGGTGAAGCTCCACCTTGCAGCGGCTGCAGTGATTGGTTACCTGACATGTGGTAAAGGGTTTGATGCTCCACAGGAACTGAGGAACGTCCTGGATGGACACCTGGAGGCTGAAGGTGTTCGCTCTGAAAGGCAACATCTTTGGCTCCTCCAGGAGCTGACCGCCTCTGGTCTTCTCTGCAGCCACCACTCCCTGAGGACGAGAACACAGACGGCAGAACGTGACAAAGGAGACAAGGAGCAATTCAAAGAAATAAATGTCCTTCCAGAGAGAAAACTGTCAGAAATGAAGAGAAGGAAAGAAAGCTGAGAAAGGAAGGAAAAGTAGATCAGAGAGGAAGAATCCTCCTTCCCTCAGAAAGTGCTCTACCTCTGCAGATCAGACACCTGTTGCTAATCCTTCCCTCTGTCACATCCACTAATTGACTTATGGCAAATATTAACACAGAAGCAAGCTGCCACAAAGTGACATCCAGTCTCCACTGAACAAATCCTACAAGTTTCTCTCCCTCATTAGCATCCCATTTACGGCTGTGACATGACAGACTGGAGCTGGCTGGGAATGCGGGGGGGCGGGTGTGTTGGGTGGGGGCTGTGGGAGAGGAGTGGAAGCGCGGCAGCGGGCGCCGTTCCCCCAAAGTGAATTGGAGATGATGAAAGAGCTCTTTGATTGTGGCTGGAAGGGATTCATCCGTCATGGCGGCTCGGTGTCCCCGTCAACGGTTCAGCATCTGGCTGCAGCTGGAGTCGCTAAGCGACCACAGAGAGCACAGCTGCGGCTTCCTGCGTGTTTTTCACGTCTGATCCCGACGAGGCAGACCTTCTTTGATTCTTCTGCTGTATAACAGTCCAGGCCTTTAAAGGGTTTTCTGTGGAAATGGCTGCCGTTTGGCGGTGGTGGGCGGAGCCTCTGGTACCAGGGCCTTCAGTGGGCACCCCCAACTTAATCTACTTCTATCCCTGGACGTCCAAATGGACAAAAGGTTTGTTGCATATTTGCAACGACGGGTGTTAATGTCACCACTTTCACATTTTCAAGGAAAACTTCTGAAAGTTCTTTAAATCTGAAATGATTCCATCCTGTTCAATAAATGATCAGTGTTTTTAATTCAGAGTAATGTTCATGTGAATGTGCTTTACTGGAGGCATCCATGTTTGTCAAAGAACACTACTGCCACCTACTGGTTAGTGACGTCACGGTGCGGTATCGGCTGTTGATCAAGTCCCAGTGCTGTATCTGGTGTTTGTCACAACGCGCTATTATCCAAGTCATCTTGAAAACATTCTTCTTCCAAATGTTGGCTACATATTACGGGTTTTTTCTCTGGCCAGAAGTTCGATGGCAAATCCTCCCTCTTCAAGTTGGCGATCCAACGACCAACCCGTCCGTGGAGGATCAGGAATCAGAAAGGTGGAATAACTCTTTGTTTCACTTTTACCCGATGTATTCCAGCATCCAGCTGCCATGCACGTGGGCATTGTCAGTTTCACTATAGCTCTGGTGAATTTCAATGGTGAATGGCCGCTACCACTCAGTGGTCACAATAAAAATGATTGTTTTATTTTTTTCCGATTAACGCTAAATTTATTAAATCACCACAAAGTTTTAGGTATAAATAATGATCCATTGATTATTCCTGCTGACCGGACTTTTCCTCTAATAACAATTTAGTAACAATCGCAGATATAATGAGAGGAAGATCAGTGTGAGGATGAATACAGAGATCAATTAGCAAGAAGTCAAATGAAGACATCAGCAATCCTCTCCTCTATAACCACAGCTCCGCCATGTTTACATCATCAGGAGCCGTTCAGCTTCAATATGCATCTAATTACCAGATAAAATAGAGCATAAAGAATGAAAATAAAATATATCTCATTCACCAGAGATGCTGATTATTTATAAACTAAATCCATCCTTCTGTCTTTGTGCAGGAAGTCTTAGTTTCTCCATTTAGTTTCAGCCATTGAGGCCAGAAACACGTTGAACTAAAGTGAATCTAAAATGCAGATTATTTCTAGCTTAACTTGGCTGTAAACATTTTTTAGCAGAATTTCTAAATGACAGATCTGGGGTCAGCCTTTCAAAGTAAAAGTCAGGAAGCCTCTGCTTCTTTCTCATAGCAGAGCTGCGAGCTGATCTCCCCCAAGGTCGCGTTCCTTGCCTTGTACGTCGTTAATGGTTACGATGGGAGAACCCGATCGTTAGCTAGATTTTAGCATCAACTGACATCAGAGGATTCAGCTTCAAGCTCTCAGAGTGACTCAGGTGGTTCAGAAATGAAACCAGCCCCCCCGTCCCCAAAGCGCTGATAAATAAAATAATTAAACCAGATGTGCTCTGATCCTGTCATGGTTTCAGTTCAGTTTAAGTTTTATCTTTGAGTTTTCATTGGTTTTATTTCCATTTTGTGTTCTAGTTATTTCTGATTGTATTTGAGTTCTTAGATATTTCTTGTTTGCCCTCTGCTGCCCTCTAGTGTCAGTCTCCTTCTCCTAGCTCCCTACTAGACTCCTCTGTTCACACCTGCTCCCAATCTGCTGATTAGCCTGCTCTTTGTTTCCCTCTCCCATATATGCTCCACCCCCCCACCCCCCCCAACTTAACAGAACCTTCCTGTGGAGCGTAGAAATGTCCTGATCTGCTGTTGAACAGATTTGTCTGAAAACTTACATATTGCATCCTCCTTTATAAAAAAATCACATCAACCTCAGAAATAACCTTTGATTTGGGACCAATTCATAGATATGTTTTCTGACGCCGATATATAGAATGAAGGATTTCAGCCAAACCATCAGAGATGAGCTTTTTCTGCAGTAAACCAAGGAAAAGCCGTTCTGGGAGCTTCATACATTATTCATTCAAGCCAGAGAGTAAAATTTAGTCCAATAAAAAAAGGGTTTATAAGAGAAAAATCAGCAGAACATTAGAAACAGCGTTTCACTTTAAAAGCATTTTAGTAATAACGCTGCTTTAGGCTTCATCTGTTATTCTCTCTGTTTGCTGATTTTTTTATTTGCTTTTTAATGCGAAATAAAACCTGTTTGGTTTGCAGAGTGTTTGTTGGACAAACTAAAGCTCACAAAGTTGCCTTAACGCGACTGGATAATAGATTTATTTGGCAGCGTGGCTCTTAAATGTCAACATAATTACTGAGGGAGCTTTGGGCCGTTTGTTGGTGGATATCGGCTCCATAAAATGATGAGAATATCCTGCATTATTAATCCACAGGTTAAAACTGGTTACAGGAGCTAGTATTGAAACTGCAAATAATGTTGATGACAGCGCTTTCACATAGCATAAGGCAATGAAAACGACAAACAGGCGAATAGAAAAGCAGGAAGCTTCACCAAAAACAATAAGAGTTAAAAACGAGATAATAAAGGGAAAAGGAAGCGGCCTGCTGATGATAAAAAGGAGAAAGGCTCCGTCTTCAATGGCCTCATGTTAATATTTATGAACCACCAAGAACATTTTATCTTCATATCGTTTGTTACGTATATAAGAGCAAAGCAGGATGAGAAGTTGCTTCACTTTTTACACATTTGAAAACCAAGCAGAGAAAATGTTTAAGAAAGTAGAGCTGAATGACTTAGAAAAAATACTGTTAGTCAGTGATTATGATTGATGATGTCACCGCTTAGCTGGAATTTTATATCTTACATTTATTAATTGGATGTAAAAACATCAAAACTTTATCTTGAAGATGTTTTTTGTGGATAGAGGAGTGACCAGCAGCTCCAGTCAGACACCAATGGAAACTCCACTTAAGGTGAAAAACAAAAAAAAAAAAACATTTTTAAATGTTTGAAACTCAGCACAGGTCTCTGTACTCCTTGGTCTCGGTTGGTGTCGTCTAGAAACCAGTTTACTCCTGTTTCTCTCCTAGACTCTGGGCTCACTGTCCTGGTTCTGCCCTTTCTGGGCTTTTTAGTTCTGTTTGTTTTCTTTTTGAGTTTATTTTAATTCATGTTTTTCTGTCATTCTAGTAGTTTTCTAGTTCTATTAAACACTATTGTACTTCCTGTTTACTCTCTGCTGCCCCCTTGTGCCAGTCACACTGATCTCTATTCACTGGATGGCTGAGTTGGTAGTGATTGGTGCTGTGAAGTCACCAGCTGCCATATTGGTACTCCCTAGTCGGTATCTCAACAATCCGTGCACTACAGCATCGAACAACCATGATGTTTTCATTTTCAGGGAGTCTAAAGACTTTTAAAACAAAGATAAATTCATCACTTTGACCCAGACTGGCTGTTTCATAGCATCATTATTCTATAAGTCATGTAATATAACATATCATACAAATCCATCACAACACAATGAATGTGTTAATGGAGCAGAATAATACTGTAGTCAGATATTAAGAATATCACACACACTATCTAATGATGAGCCAAAAGTACTAAATTGATGAAGTAAATCTATTGAATAAATTAGTGGAATCCTGATGTCTATTCGCTGCGAGCTGTTTCAAAGAGACTAAAGAATCATTAACTAAAGGTTATTAGTTCCTGATTAAACAAATCATTGATTAAACATTATTTGGCCGACGTCGTTTAAGTTTTAAAATCTGCACAGACGATCAGTAAATTATCTTATAGAAGTTTTTCTATCGCAGTTAGCAGTGGATGTTAATCTAATTTTGAAACAAGCAACAACTTGTTGTTATTTTTGGCACTTAGGAAATTCCTGATTAGCGAGGGCAGAGTGCTCCATGCCTGAGTGTGGAGGAGGGACTGTTGAAGCTTTTCTGCAAACTGCTGCTTTACCTCATCTGGGAAACGCTCTGCTGATGCCGTCGGCAATTTGCATCTAAGCAGTTTTTGCAAATCTCTTTCGAAAAAAAAAAAAAAAAAACACCCTCAGAGATGTTTGATAAATTACAGTTTCTAAATAATGCTGTTTGATACGTTACAAACTCTAAGCAGCTTCATTTAAATTCATCAATATAAAAAAAGCCCATTGCTCCTCGTGCGCGCTCTGTTTAAAAGCTGTTTGCATCGCTCATACAAGCTCACTTTCCACTATGTCAGACTCACCAGCGCTCAGTGAAAATGGGGACTTAGGACGGCCTTACGTAAACGTATCACCAGAATGATTGACAGTTAGGAGGACCACTGATTTAGATGATCCAGCCAGAAATAAAACATCCTCCACTATAACTTTAAGGAAGAACATTTCTCTGCCAAGTTCAAGATGAACAGCAACACGGTGCACTATTGTGCTTTTGTGTCCCTTGAACAAATGTTTTAGGCCTCCTGCTGATTCTGAATCTGCTCTGTGGTTGACTTTGTGCTGAATCTTTGAAAAAACAGCCAACAGGGATGTGCTGCTAACAGGAAGGAGCCCAGGGGAGGCGCAAAACGTCTGGCATCTGCTCAGCAGGCTGTGAAGTCATAAAGCAAACCCAGAGCGCATCTTAAAGCCACCTGCCACTGACTTCTCCAACATGACAGAAGAGTCAGTCACCAGCTTCCCTGGCTCAGTTCTAACCTCCTCTGGGGAGGAAGGAGGAGCTTGATTTCCCTGATGTTCACTACAACACCTCACTGCTCAAAAAGCCTGTCCTGTTTCCTGCTAAAGGATGATCCAGTCAATCAAAGTAGAAAATGATTAACATTTGAAAGGCAGAATGCCAGCCTATTAAAAGCACAGGAAGAGGATCCATGAGGACCATCTCAGCTCCCCACAACACAACTGTTTAGTTTCAATATGGAAATGAACCTGCAGACTCTCATGGTGCCGCTCTCTGCTGTCCCTGCTGACTGACAGAAACCCGGCAACAACCTAACAGAAGATGTAAGCAGTGAATCTGGGCCATGCCCCCCCCTGCTAATCACTGAAGAGCATCTGTGCAGCCTTCTGCTTTCAACAAAGACGCCACAAACAAGTTCAACTACTGTTGGTTATTTGAAAGGCTTCGAATTAGACAGAAAACTAATGATTGACTGTCTGTGATGATCTCCACCAGTGATTATAGGATGAGTTTGCCATCATTAACACATCTTCAGCGCCTTAAATGATCCTATCAGTCTATAGATGCAGATCAGAATCTCTGGTTCTGTAAAGTTTAGACCTTCCTATGCTGAGGTTTCTGCAAATACGACATGTTAAGCTAAACGGTTAGCACTCCAAATATTTTTTTATTTCACACCAGATGCGCTTCAGGCAGCAGAAGCAGCAGGTTTACATGCAGAGTCAATGGTTGACGCGCATGAAGGCGCCGCAAAAAGGTCCTGCAGCGTCTAAAGCAGCAGCTGCTGGAAAATGTAGCTTTAGCTGCTGGACGCGCCGCATCAACCAATGAGAGAAGCTGATCTGGGAGCTGGCAGGGAGTCAGACGCAGCACTGCTGATGCAGAGCGCTATGATCACTCCTCTGAAACAGTTTATTAACGCCTAAATTAACTTCAAATGTAGAAACCTGCCGGCAGAATATGTTGGCTTTTATTATCCTGCTGCCTGCAGTTTGTAGCACAGACCTGAAAAACGCTAACATCTACTTCCAGCCGCCACCAACAGGAGGGGAAAACCCTGGAGAGGCGAGCGGGCCTGAGGCAGCTGCTGCTGGGGATTCCCAGTGACAGCGCAGCGCCGGTATGTGGGGGTCTGAGCGGCTCCCACAGAGAAATAATCTTTGAAGGCAGGATGGTAATCTGGATGAACTGACTGCACAGACCATGTTTTCAGGAGGACTTTCTCACTTCAACATAGATTCTAACTACTTTCTACCCGCTGATCACAGCTAATATAGCAAAGCTGCTCTCTGGCATCGAACACAGGAGCAGCAGAAGCATCTGCTGCTTCATTTCTGAAGCAGCAGATGCTTTTTTGCTGCTCAAAGTGCATCTGGTGTGAAAGTAGCATAAATCATCAGCCACGTTTCTATGAGCAAAAATGTCACAAACTGATTGAAACGTATTTGGACTCAAAAAAGAAAGATTATATGGACAATAGTAAAAAGAGCGACTGGTCCGATAAGCCTAAACCTGCTGATCTGAACATTCAGTGAGTCAAAGCAGAAAGTCGCCATCCTGATGCTGAGTGATTTATTCACACTGAGGTCAGCTCGCCTCACTGAGGAAGACTCCATCCTGCAGCGTTTACATGAACGCCGACCACATTATCAGTCTGCATAAACCATCCCACTCAGAGATTATAACTTTATTCCCATCAGAACGCGATACGATGATGTTTCCATCTCTGTTCTCTGAGTCTGAAACATTTCACTGATCATAACGGAGTCGTCTTCCCAGGTTTAGAAACAGCAGATATTGTTAGCATGACGTGGTTCCAGAGCCTACATGGGTTCTACTTGTTCCCTTATCTGAACGCAGGACTTTAAGGTTTCTAACTCACCTTTGAATCATCATTAAGGGTCAATCAAGTTTACCTGGTCAGCAGTTGGTCACTCTGCATCTCTACCAACTATAAACCATTAGACCACCAGTTTACCCAGTCTGCTGTTCCTAATGACCATTACCTTAAAAACAAAAAGCAATGGTGGTCTGATATTTCTATCCATCACTAAATCTGTATCTAGTTAATATCTGATGTTTTTTTTTTTTACATCAACTGATTCTCCTTCCAGTTTTTCAATCACTAGACTTTAAGTGAATCTGTCCATTTTTTCTGCTGTTGCTTCTTTTTCCTGTTTGACTGCAAAAAGCCCCCCGAGGTCTAGAAAGCTCATTATAGATGCTACTTTTTGTTCATGAATGTCGTATAGTTCTGTCCACATTTCCACCGCATGGTTTCAACGCTTAATGCATGTTTGTTGGAATCTTGTGTTTGTCCGAAAGCGTCTCTTTGGCGCCCTCTTCATGTTAAACGAGTGAACTGCCTCTAATTTAGAGCCCGTTTGTTTCGGTTTAGTCGCATGTTTGTAATCCTGGACATGTAAGCTGTGATCACCCAAACCACTGACACCAACTTCTCACTGGTTCAACGGTTAGATGCCGACACCAGCGGAGGCCGCAATCAACCGCTCCATCTACAATCTGTCATCACAGTGATGCTCTTCATGTGCGTCACTGTTACTGCTGGTGTCATGGCTGCCGTCGGTCCGTCTGTCCTGCAGATGGAGAGAAGTGAGGCTCTGCAAGGTTGAGCTGTTTGTTACCTAAACCTTATTTCCACCTAAAGGGAAACTTTGATTTAAGCTTAAATATATTTAGATGAAGCAGATTTGCCTTTTATAACTGCAATTAAAAATCCTATCAGTTTATACTATGAGGAATAAATTATAATGACGTCATTCCTTTAAATTGATAGAATCAATACGTCATTTTTCCAAATGAACCTTACAGGCAGCAGCTAAAGTTCAACATGCAAGAAAATAAAAAAGGGACCAAGAGAGAAAAAAATCTGAGAAAATGATTGAAAACTGCAGACATAGTTAAAAACCAATGACTTTAAAAAGGTTTGTTTAGTTTTAAAAGGGAAATGATGTTTGTCTTTGTACCAGCCAGGCCTCTCCTGATGCTCCATCACTGAACAGACTGGACTCAGTAAAACTGTTGATTCTGGAGGTAAACTGTAAAAATGTCGCCTCCACTGAATCAACCCTGAATCAAGGCTGATTGTCGACCAAACTTAAAGCGCTTCCAGGTAAAGACTGCAGCCAACAAACATCTGGGTGACAAAGAGATAAAGAGCAAACAGCATCTGTGCTGCAGGTCACTTCCTCTGCGCAAGTTTAGACTTTTCAAGACAAACCGAAGACAGGAAAGGGAAATATTGGAGCAATATTCATGTTCTGACCAGAAAAAGAAGAAATAAATGAACGGATCTGATTCCCATTTACATCACCCACCCTCCCACCCCTCCACAGGACGGCCCCAGGAGAAAATCCTTCAGATATCACAGGATACTGATGGACAAGCATTTATTTCTCAATCTTTTTTGAGTCTTAATTTTCATTCATGAAAATCTGAATGATATTTAGAACCATGGATGACATTAGGAAGAAGACAATAACATCATAAAACTGCACAAAGTATTTCAGTTACTATAATAAGTATTACTAACTGAAGAGTTCCACTAATCCTGAGCTGCTAAGAGGAGAGACATTAAATATTTAATTTTAAACCAAATCTTGGTATTAAATCATCCTTCCTGTCAGTCGGAGGCAACAGCGGCAGTCGGAGGGTTGCAGGTTTGAATCCCACCTCAAGCTTTCTCTGTCATCGGGTCCTCCTGGAGGTCAGAGGGCGCGGTGGCGCCTCCTTCCTATCAGCGAGCCCCAGGGCAGCTGTGGCTACAGTGCAGCTCCCCACCATCAGTGAATGACTCTGGAGGCCCCTGACTTAGAAGGGCCCTAATTAAGAACAGGCCATGTACGGCTTAACATGCATGTCTATACTGACACGCATTGGAGGAGTCAGAAAGGAAATCAGGCTTTGGGTTGGAGGAATATCATCAAGCAGAGCGTGGGCCTCCTGTTCCTACCTGAAAGGCGTGTGGCGTGTCGTCCACACAGTAGACCCGCAGACTGTAGATCAGAGGGCCCGACTCCACGCTCCCAAACACGGCCAGCTTCAGCCTCTTCACAGCAGCCTGCGTCAGCGGCTCGCCCACCAGGGCGTAGGAGCCCGGCTGGTCCAGCAGCAGGTGGCAGCTGGTGGAATCCATCAGGCAGTAGCAGGAAGTGGACTCCTCATCCACTGACATCACTTCCTGTAAAGAACACAGAGACATTTAGCAGGAAGCTTTGCTGATCTGAAACTCAATGCCAAAATATGGAATGAAATTAAAGGAACATCCCAGCAGAAATAATGTTCTCTTTGGACCAGTTTGCTCCCAGTTAATCACAGACACAACTTGAGCTTCATAGAAAATGAAGAGAGCTAATCAAGTTTTTTCCATATCCTTTAATTCAGCCAGGTGCTGTCAGGGTTGGTGGATGTTCTAGTGGATCCAAATGCAGAGTAGAAGAGGCAGAGATGATTGCTAGAAAAATTTAATGAAGAAATAAAAATACAAAATCCATAGTCCAGAACCGATCGACAAGAAAACTCAACAACTAGGAGAGACTAGGAAGGAATAAATCTAAAGAATAGAGGGAAGCGAACAGGAGGTGTATATATGGGAGACAGAAACAATGGGAGGACTGAGGAGCTAATAGGGAGCAGCTGTGGACAGAACCGTCTCTTTACCCCGATGACTTGGTCAATTATAGACCTTTATCCAATCTTCCTTTCTGATCTAAAATTCTTGAGAAAGCAGTTGCCAAACAAGTGTGCGATCACTTCCACCATAATGAACTTTTATTGTGTTAATCTAATTTCCCTGCAGATCAATAAAGCATTTCTGAACTAAAGAACTTATCTGTTATTTAATGAATTCCCAGATTTAGCAGATCAGAACCAAAAGTAGGTCTTAATGAACGAGAAAAATTACAAAAAAGGGATTCTGAGGACCGTGTGTCTGAATCAGTGGCAGCTGGCCAATAGAGGGCGCTATGGCGCCACCCTAATCACCCAATGACTTTATATCATAAAATTTTAATATTCATAAATATATTCATATTTTTTTTTTTTTCGAGATAAATGTTCAATCTTTAATGACGAGGAAAGCTGTTTTGTTTGTCGTCGGATTATGACGTATTTCCATAAATCTCCCCCCATAGACTCTGGTTAAAGTCGTCCAGCTCAGCAGCTCCTCTTCATTGCTAAGATAGGAGCATCCTGGGGAGCAGCTCTCCTGCACCCAGAGCTGAAAGCAGCTTTATTTGCTCACCACCTCCCTCCACAGCGCTGACGTCACCGTCGTCTGTTAGAAAGTGCTTCTGATTGACAGGTTTATGGGATTATTTAGCTACGAGGCTAGGCTAACTGCATGCAGCGAGGCTAAGGCTTTATTCTGCTTTCCCTGCCTCCTTTTTCTAAGGTCAGCTAGAAGTGATTTAAAGCACTTTGCAGAACATTTTAGGATGATGTTTTTTGTTGTTGCCATTCATGTAAATATACTATATAGGTATATTTATAATATATGCTATACGTCTATTTTGGAGTCATAGCGCCCCCTGGAGAGAACCAGCCATCACTGGTTTGAACTGAATCACCTTTGACCCCAGAAGTAGTTGAACGGATGAACAACAGACATGTTTTATCAGGAGCGTCTCTGATGCTGACTCTTCCAGCAGGCGGACCTCATGAAATAATACGTAGACGTTAACATCCGGTCATCTGGTGAGATTAAAACCAACCAGTGGCAGAAAAATGGCGCCGTGGCGATCAGAGCCAACCTCAATCAATCAACCAATCAATCAATCAATCAATCAATCAATCAATCAATCAATCAATCAGTCAATCAATCAATCAATCAATCAATCAATCAATCAATCAATCAATCAATCAATCAATCAATCAATCAATCAATCAGTCAATCAATCAATCAATCAATCAATCAATCAATTAATCAAAATGTCAGTTTCAGTAAAACCGTTCATCACAATACGTCACATACATGGGGGGGCTGAGAGGGGGGGGGGGGGGGCAGATCCACTGAGGCCATGATAGGAGCCACAGAACGCTGCCATTCGGCAGGACGGCACATTCTTATGGTTGCCAGGTTGCCACCGGTTACCTGGCTCCCCAGGTCCCAGGCGGGTCCCTATAGCGCTGCCTTTATTTATCTCTGTGGAAAGATAGGAGCCACATTGGGGGAAAAAGCATATTTCACACTTTATCCTTTCAGGATACAGTTTGAGATTTCAAAAAAGAACAAGAGAAAAGCACATCTAACACAAGACATTTAGCAGAGGGTCACATCGGAGGCGGAGCCACATTAAGTCAGTCTGACATATTGAGACATTTATTGTGTGTCGATGATGAGTGCGTTCAATCTGTCCGTGAACGCTGACCACAGGCAACGTCCTCGATAAGATGGAAGTTTATCAACAGTCACTGACTGCTTTAGAGTAAAATATTCATTCAGGAGCTGGATCTATATTATGACTTTGAAACTGCTGGTTAACTGTAGCACAGTTAAATAAGGAGGTAGGTGACATACGGTGAGTTTAATCACACAGCATGAGCTCCGAGACGATGGAAGCAGAAGAGCTTTTCCTACATGAGTGATGCTGTTCGAACGGAGCTGAACAAAATGCAGTCATTACAAACAACACAGTCTGTTTTATTTATGAGACAGCTCCAGCAGCGGGAAAGCACTTCATTATTTTAACTGAAATGAAAGAATCTGTTTTTTTATTCTCCACATCCCACCTCAGGGGAAAATTCCTCCAACCAAAGCTAAAAATGACAGAAACAAGGAGATGCTTGGAGGGATCAGGTTCCAGGAATACAGTAGGACTCAGATTCCCCATCAGATGTGTCCAAGTTTGTTATTTTTCTTCCATTATTGTCACGCAGTGATCAGCTCCCTGGCACGGAGACAGAATCCATAAAATTCATGCAAAGGTACGATTTAATGAGGAGCTGTGAGAGCAGACAGCATGCTAAAACACAGCTGGAGGATCCGTCTCCGCTCGCTCACGGATAATCAAGATAGCTGGCAAAGCGCCAATTAAAAGTCATGCTACCAGCCGCCATGTCATGCGAGACGGTAAATCTGCACATGTTGACTCACTGCGTCTTGCTTCACAGCAGCATTAGCCAGATTGCGCTGCTTTATAATCTCTGGCCGTATGGCTTCATGCTAATGCGCTCCTATGGTTTTTGCTTTTTGGAAAGTGAAAACAGCAGCTGAGATAATAGGCAGCATCTGAACAGCAAGCTCCCCGCTCTGTTGGGGTGTTGCTGTGCGACTGCTGAGGCTGGAGGTGGGGGACTGGATGGATTTTTAGTTGCCTGATGCAGCCGAACCTGAACTGATCTGCAGAAAAGACAAGAAACCGGTAAAAGAAAAAGAGCATTTAGGAGGATCACACCCATTAATTAACTCAATTAATCTAAGATTTGCTTTGTTAGGCATTGAGAGCGGTCCAAGATGGCAGCTATCTTCTTTTCAACATTTTTATTGTAACTAACTGGATGTTCTCTCTTTCTTTGACATGAAAACTGACTCAGATCTCGTCTGATCAACCGTTTGTTTCAGAGCTACCTCCGTCATGATCACATCCCTGGTAGCTTCTCTGATTACTCACTTCATTCAGCTGCTGTTCCCTCCCCGCTCTTTAATTATCATTCATCTTATTCACCTGCTCTCTCTGCTATAGATACCATTTAGCCCAGCTATCAGGGCCAGATCATTATTCGTTTGTATTCGTGTCACTTATTCATATATTCTTAGTTAATTCAGGTGTTTTTAGTCTATTCATGTTATGCTTTCATGTCAGTTATTTATGTTTCTAGTTTTAGTCGAGTCCCTGGTCCATGTCCTGAGTCTTGGAGGCCAGTTAATTGAGAGGGTTTGGTGTTTGTCTCCTGATCGTGTCCCGGCCCTTCTCCACGGAGCCCTCAGGGTTTTGGATCGGTACGCGGGGAAGGTCAGTCTGGTCCCATAAACCTGGCTGCTAGGAGGAGACCAGTTTAAAGTCCGGCATTGATCCTGGTACCATGTCTTGTCTGTGTTCCTCTCAACCACTGAGCCCGTCTGTCTCCATCTGAGCGTGTCTGTCTGAGCTCGCTGCTGGACTCAGAACTCTGAACCTGCCTTCATGCTCTCAGGATTCCTGGAACCCTGGATCTGTCTCTTCCTGTTCGGATCGGAACCCCTGGTAGAGCTACGAACTCCCGGATCTCGGAACTGTCCGGTTCTGAACTGTTTCTCCGACCCGTCCAAAGTGTCCCCAACATTTTGGCCGGGTCAGAGACGCATCTTATCAGCTGGATCCTGCCTTCCTCTGAGAGGATGGACCGAACTGTTAAACCAGGTAAGTGACTCATGTGGATAATTATCACCTGTCAGATCATTGGGGTCACTTACCTGTGTTTCTCCCTCCAGAGTTTCAGTGACTGGGCGGTGCTCCCCCCCTCCTGCAGCCACTGCGATCATCTTATCCTCACCAGCCTGCGTTTCTGTCGTTTCATTAATGTTTTCAAACTTCCGATTGTCTGACTCACCTTGAATACTGGGTCCATCTGTTCCGCTTATGAGAACCTGGTAACTAGTTTAAGTTGCTTTTCTAACATAGAAAGTTTCATATTTATGCTTTTCTCTCCATCATCAATGCATGCAGGCTTGACCTTAGAAAATTCTAACTTTCCAGTTTTGAAAAACTGATTTTTATTTTTGGAAACACTGGATTCTAAGTGAAAATCCAAAATAAAATCCTACTCGCTGGTAGAGAGCAAGAATAAAATAAAAGACAAAAATAAACGTATTGGTTGAGCTAACATTTTCTCCATTTGTATCCATGGTTATTTTCATCTATGGTTAGATTCCCTGTAGCTCAGAGTTCTAGTGTCTCTTTTTATCGGCAGGTTGTCATCAGGGACCCTAACTAGCTCAGCGGATGCAGAACGGAGAGGGCGGTTCTAGACGAACTACAGCGAAAACAACCCATAACGATGATATTAGATGATATTTAAGTAAACGTCCATCTTGGTCTCTGACTGTAATTGGATCAGATAAAACTAACAGAGCTGCAGGAGACTGATCAGCAACGACTGAATTTAATGCAACCAGGTTCACAGTTTGTGCAAATCCGTTCCTGCAGGGATTTGGTGGAACGGTTTAGAGGATGAAATCATGCAAAGTGCAGATAGAGCACA